CTTCCGCTCCTTTACTCGTGGAGTTACGCGGAGCTGAGAATTTCGGGGCTTTTTTGAAACTTGGATGGATATTTTGGGAAAGCAGCTTTGCCCGACTCTATTTTTGGTTTGCCCAAAACTTGTATTCTACAATTACTTTATCGGATCATTTTATACGAAAAAGCAAACAACTACACGGAAAAAAAGGGCACCTTCAGATGAGTTTTTACGATTGCAACCTTTTCCTGCGAGACCCCTTCATATGAACACACGAGCAACAGATACATCCTTTTCCGCCATTGCTCCGTAAACCAAGTAATAATAATAACAACCTCGCCCTCTTCATCTAATCCGAACGTGCGCACAATAGCCGACATGTATGTGTATTATCTACACGAGCGGCTTCTATCTAGGGAATGTTGGCAGCAGCAGGGCGAAACATTACAACATCATTATTATTTGAGCATAACGTGCAGCCACGTGGACTTGTATAGTTGGGGGAGGGTTAACTTTAAAAAAAGTTTTTTGTTCTTGTTCAGATAAAGTTTTTTTAAAGTTTTTTCTTGAGACAGCTTATGAAATAAACAATATATTTATTGCATGTGATATATTTCATTAATACAGTATACAATAATTATTGAGCAAAATGTGAATTTTAACTTTAAGAATTGTAGATTACATTTATTCAACGCATTTAACTGCGCGTATTCTTATGTGCCTAATGATAATAATAGCAAAAAAAATTCGTTAGGTACAAGCAGCTCATAAAAAGAACAAAAACGTAAGCGATAATCATCTCAAATTATTAAATTCTTCCTATCATGTTGCTTGAAATTATTATTATTTTTTTTTTTTAACTCCTTCCAACATCATCTGCATTTTTTCTTTTTAGATTATTTTAATTATTATTATTTTTTTTTTTTAATTTAATTTATTAAATTTAGAAGAAAACTTTTTACCAAGTTTGGAGAAACTTTTCTAAAACTTGCGTTTAAAGTTCTGACCAAGTTTCACTCTGTCTCAAGAAAGAATTAAAAAAAAACTTTTTCTAAACATGAACAAAAAAACTTATTTTCAAGATTGATTTTACTTGATTTTTTTACGCGGGGGGGGGGGGTATCCCAAGTTTGGCTCGTGTTACAGGGACGACAGAATTTTGGGCGGACCCTGACCTCGTCCAAGCTTCTTCGCGTATGGAAGATCGCGCAGAGAAAAAATAACACGTGTTTAACTTCCGCAAATTCTTCCCAATATCGCTTTCTTCTCCTGTCCTCTATTTAATTTGATTCATGATTACTCCAAAATGATATTCAGGGCTTACTTTATTAGTCGATTCATTGTCCTCAAAATTATCAATTACCTTTAAAATTTCCACTTTTCATCTCGTGACCCTACATAATTTAATCAAAAGTTTGAAAAAATTGCACCACGTTATCTCTTCATAAATTTTTATTTATTACAAATATACCGATGCGCATTATTAAATCTACACCCCTTGGGTACTACGATGAAATACACGTCCTAAACGTGAAACTAAATTACACTCGATTCATCACTTCGACGTGCCTATACACAAGATAAAATTGATTATCGAAGGTATCATTACCCCGTGTATTGTTTCCCTCGGCGAAAACCTGATGGATACAAGTCGACGCTATACCACCGAGAAGATGAAAAAGCGAGTGCGGCCGGAAGATGAAAAGCAGAAAAAGAGATTGTGGAGGGGGGGAAAAAAAAACGGAGCGGGTGCCGGGATCCATGCCACGGATAAGAAATGCTCCACACGTGATCCGATTCGATCATGCCGAGGGGCTCGCGAAAGGGCGATGATTTATGGCGACGTGGGGGAGGAGTTCCAACAGTTACGTTGCGTCAATGTGTACACCTGCCGACGTATTACTCGATGATTCGATATTAGCACGCGACGAGTGGGGGGATCACGATTGTGGCACGTCAATATAATTGTTTACAGAAGAAGAATGATTCATTTGCCGAAGCGCACACACCTACAAAGGATATATATGCATCGTAAAGCTCGTCGTAAAGTTCGAAGCGTATAAATCACAGATCGGAACGAAGCTGGACGAAAAGGAGTATAAAACTGCGCCGGGAGTTGAGGGGGAGGGGAAGTGACTTAACGAGATAAAAGAAGGGGTCGGTGCGTGTTTATAACTCGCCAGTGGCATAAAGTCGCCGCTGGTAGTTGGCCGGGGGTTTACGAGGGACATAAAGGGACGCGGTATTGCACGAAGACGGAAGCCGAAACTGCATTGGTCCTTTTTGTTTCGAATTCGAGTTTCAAGCCACACCTATAAGTTCATACGCGTGTGCAACTCGTAACCGAGACAACGTAGAGACTCCGAGTCGATTCCGCACGCGCGGGCACGATGTGTATGTATGTCCCAAAGTAAGTCGAGGGACGGAGATAAATCTGTTATCCAGCCAACGGTGGGCCCATGGAGATAAACAGAGACGGAGGAACAATGAAGATTGATCGCCCCCTCCCACCCCCCTGGCTTCGAGTTAATCTGCGATCGATCCGCCAAAGAATATCTCTCTCCTTATTCCGGACTACCTCATTGTTCGCTCTCTCTCGCGGAAGATACGTTGAACCCCCATTCCCTTTCCCCCCTGGCACTTGTTCCGAGAGGAGCACCTATTGTGCTTCTTCCGCGCACTCGTGTGTGTATATACAGTGCGAGCACCTGAGACCCCGGGATGTGGCCTCTGCACTTTGTTGGGGACGTGGCTGCCCGTCTACAATGTGTATGAAGTAGTAATGACTGGCTCGATTTTTTTCCAATTTGTAAGCTTTGATTCAAATAAAGGGCTCGGGTGCGAAAAGTAAGCCGAGCTCTGCTGAACCTCGACTCCCGTTCATTTTCCGCGTACCATACGCTCGCCAAGTTGCCCCTGCCTATCCCACTATCCCTGGTCTATACTCCTGGAAGCCAATTGAATTTAATTAATCGCCCTGTCGCCATAGCTGCGAGAGACGACTACTCCCGTTCCTTTGAAATTCACTAATTAGTCGGCTTTTCTCGTCCTTTTCTTTTTTTTCAGGTTCCCTATCTTCAATTACCAATAATTTTACTTCGAAAATCATTCCTGCGTATCGGAGCTTTCGGGAGTACTTGGCTATCGATACGAAGAGCAAACGGAACGAAAGAGCAACGAGTGAAAAAAAAAAAAAAAAAAAAAAAAAAAAAAAAAAAAAAAAAAAAAAAAAAAAAAACACGAGGAGCCAAGGACATCCTTTGCCGAACGACTGTGACGAGCTGTTGTTATGATCTATACGACGAAAAACTNAAACGGGGGGGACTCGAAGTGCAATGATATTAAAAACTGATTGCGTTTTCGCGCCCCGATTGTAAAAAAAAAAAAAAAAAAAAAAAAAAAAAAAAAAGGAATTAAAATAAAAGTCCGAGCACGTCTTTCTTCCCTTTGGAGTTTGATTGCCAGAGTGTGCTTACTTAATTTGAAAATCATCCGAAAGCGGATATATGCGCAGTGTAGGGTCGGAGCGCATAGCTGAAACAAGTCACGCTCGGCTAATCGTAATTAGTGCTGCTGCGATCGCGCGCCCGCAGTACCTACTCCGTAAACAAAGTTTTGCGCCGTAGGTACATGCACTATACCATATACCGCTATTACGAGGACGACGACGTATATATATATACCTACACTTTGTCCTCTCAAGTGGATGCTGGGGCCATCGCGTGGAATGAACAAGAAGTGGTGGGCGCCTGCGGAAGAGAAACGCGGAGTTGTGGGGAAAAATAACGGGAGCACCGAGTTGGTCAATGAATTCGTAATCAAGACGTGGTTTGACGAATCTGGGTTACAACTAAGTGGGTTCGCTTGTCGGGTGTAATAATTGCAAGGGGCGCAAGAACAGGCAGAGGCGCGGGTACATTTTATTGCGAGCGAATTTATGAAAATGAGGGCGATAAAATGTTAGAAAAGTCCCGGGGCGAGTGACGGGGGGCCGGTGTTGCGCGGGGATATTACACGCGATAGAGGAGATTTATCGCTCGGAGGAGCTGGGCTGCCTCTCCGTGGAAAAGAGACGGCCCGGGAATATTCATCTCGATTTTTTTTTTTTTTTTTCCCTTTTCCCGATATCGCCGAGCGGGCGCTCGATGCATCTCAAACGGGGGCTTAACTCCGTTATATCGAATTTTCAGCTCACGCATCACGCGAGAGAATGGGATAATGAATTTCGGGACGTCTGTTTCGAGCAGGGCGCCTTTGGGATATTTGAATGCGATACGCGTAAGAGGGAAAATGGCACGAGAGCGCGAATCTTACCGGGTGCTGGCATATATGTGCATAGCTCTTATTTTCACCCTATTTTCCAACAGATCCCTCCACTCTCGACTCGAGCCTTTATACGTTTCCCTTTTGGATACACGTCAAATGTAGGTGATGTTTTATTCTGGATGCATCTCTGGTTCCATACGTCAATTTTGTAAATATACAATCAGTCAAATGAACGGTAAAACATATGCTCTGTCCTGTAGTTTTTCACTTATTTTAATTTTGAAATCAGGTACATGGTGCACTATGAATTTAACTGATCCTATTCTTAATCGAGAAATTAAAAAATCAAATCATTTTTTTTTTTTTTTGTTTTGCAATGATTGTGCATTTTTTCACTGAAATTGTTCGAACAGACGGTTTTTTTTTTGCTGCAGTCTCGTGCAAAAGTATATATAATTTTACAAGAGTCAATAATACCCCGATGGGGATAAAATTTGAAAGGATCCCGTACGTCTGCAGGGTACATAATAATAAATGAGTACACTGAAACTCCGTCTGACCGAACGCCGAGTTGAACTACTGGGAATCACACGGACATTCGAACCAAGTTCTCGTCGGATGTCAAATCAATAATTCAATCGCACCCTCTGCTCCGATAGACCAACTGCAACTACAGCAACACACCTTACATATGGAGCGCGCGGTGGCTCAACGATACAAGTATATAATATATGTGTGGATGGTAAGCAGGTACTCACTTGATGCGGTTGTAGACGAGCAGTTCGGCAATCTCCCGGCCGAGCCTCGAGTAGAGCGTCTCGACGAAGACGAGGACCTTCGGGTCGATCCTGAGCCTCGCCTCGCTACGGTGGTCCGGCGCCTTGGGGAGCCTCGTCGCTCCCCGGAGCGTCGAGCAGCGTATCGCCGGCTCCGGCCTCGTGTCTCGTCGAATCAGACTGCAACACAAAAGACACACATACACACATAGATACTTACACGCACGAGTGCCTTAACTTACGTTCTACTTGCAATTAATTCAGTGACTACGTCGTACATATATAGTAAGGCGACGCTCCGTCTTTCGAGTTTGACGGTGTCGGCACGCGAGAAATTAATTTGGTTAACTCAGCGCGAGGAGTCAGGGGTGGGGGGGGAGGCGAAAAGTGTGGAATTGTTCGAGCCGCGTAAAATAGCTCTCTCTCCTCGGGGCGCCGGTGTCCCCCCCCCCCGCACCGTCTTCTTCTTCTTCTTTTGCGCTCGGCTGTTTTAATTAGGACTCGGCTGCGCGACTTGTTCTCGGTTTCTTATTGCCGACTCCTTTTTATTCCCTCCTCTTCTTCTTCTTCCTACCTCGCTAGTCTGGATCCCCGGCTACACGCGGGCTTTTAGGCTTAATTAGACTTTCCGGGCATAATAACAACGTACAGGTGGACGCGTCGTACCTACGCTCTCGCAAGTTTTTATCGGCCCACGGGGTGTATGATGAATCAAATTTCGTTCCGCGAACCGTATGGCAAGGATTTTTTTTTCCTTGTTCAAGAGAGTGTGGAGTTTTGCGATGAATCCAGTCATGGTTAAGCTCGATTGTTTTGGAGGTGATTTTAACAATTCAGCGCTACATTTTCGTTTGAATGTTTAACGCAGTGCATTGCCGAGGTGAATTATTTACGAATCCGGGTTACACTGTATATACGCTTGTTTGTTCATTTGAGTAATTTCCACCGGCGTTACCTCGCCAAATTTCCAACCAAAGAATGTTTTATTACAGAATACATCTATACATATAGTGTCGCAACAATATTGGAAACCAGTATCCATACCTTTGTAGGACTTTGCCAAAGTGCGCATAAATAATGATGAAAGGACGAGAGCAAGTGGGGTCTGGCAGAGGGTTGGGAGTCATAAGTGGACGGTGTTGCAGAGGAAAGTGGAGGCTTCCGACACTGGCCGATACAAGGGAAGGTTGGCCAAGTGGAAGCGTAAATACGACGGCATTAAGCTCTTTCGGCGACTGCCTGCTACGCCAATACGGATGCGCGTCGTGGGCGAGTGAGGGCAAACACGTAGTTTTGCTGAATTAACGCTACGGTGGATAAGTGGGGGATAATCTTTCGTCGTTGCGTTTATGGGGGATTTGCTTTCCGTGTTACGATAACGCTGTCGATAGCTACGAAGAAAATTTAATTCTTGGTTTGGTGTATAAATTGTACAATAACTTTTTTTCTCGAGCGTTTTTTTTTTTCTCTTTTTTTCATGCCAAAATTTGAAGAGATGAAGCAAAGAGTGTTATTAATTGGACGAATCAGATTAAAGCGTAATTCGTATAAACTTTTCCAATAAAATAAAAGTGGATCTTTGTTATGCGTATGCGCAATAAAAAAAATCTCCTCGATAACCTACAGCTAAAACCGGTAAAAACAGCTCGTAAAAATCAGCAGCAATCCTAAACGATGATACGAGGAATAATCGTTCCCCCTTCGCAAGCTCAGCTGGAGGTAACGTCGGCCAAGAGGAAAATACAGAGGAAGGAAGAGAAAAAAAAAAGAGGGGGGATAAATACGTCGTCGTCATGGTAGTAGGAGCCCCGTGTGCCCCGCACTCGCTGAAAGGAACGGCGACGGCTAACTGCGCGCGAGCATGCGATGATACCTCACCCCTCTGGATATACGAGTTCCCAATAAATCACAGCGCGTGTCAGACCGTACACAGGTTTATCCGTATGTGCGCGTCACCTGTTCTTGTGTTTATGCATTTATGCGTTTGGGGAGAGGGACGAGAAATTTTTCAATTCAAGTAGTCAAATTTTTAATTAATCTTGTTACCAGCGGGTATGTATAACCAGGAAAAAAAAGAGTGTACATGTATCTCTTCGGTGGTCGCGAGCGCGCCAAGGGGAGTAAATTATACGGCTCGAAAGTTTCGGGGGCGAGCTCCGGCTCGCGCGTTTTTTAAACGAAACAGATTTTCATTAAAAAGTTGGCCGATCCTCTCGCCCGCGCGGCGGTTGCGATTTCATTTTTTCCTCCCACCCCGTCCGTACCCAACAACCGCCACGAGGTTGTTTAATTAGCGTTTTAGAGAGACACTCGGCGGCGCGTGGTGAGAGTTGTTCGTCAAACTTTTTCCCTTCGCCCGTTGCAGTTTTGCTTACACCCTCGTCGCCGCGGTCATTTAGTCGAGGAGGAACCGCCGAGTTTTCATTTGGCTGCGGGCTCGTTTCGAATTGAGCCCGTCCGCGCTCACTGTTGGTGCGAGTTTTTAACGATGGAGGCACGCTTGGCTGGTGGGGGTTGGGATGAAATTTATACTGCTGCTCCGTAGCGAGAAAGACAAATTTTAATTGTAAGCAGGAGGTTCTCTTTCCCAATATTCTCCCGATTGAAATTCAGAGGGGGCCAATCGAGCAGTCAATCACATAGTAGTGGACGAGAGTGAAAGACAAAAAAAGATATAAAGCTCGTGAATTCACTCATCAATGGGCAGAGCTGCAGGTACATGTAGTATCTTGGCAACTCGAGCGAGGCCAGCCATCCATCATGCAAATCAACTTGGTAGCTGCCGTGTACCATTACCCATGTATTATATATATATACGTACATATCTGAGCGGTTCACGCCGATTCAAATTGTCACTGCCGCCTACGCGGAGATAAAAAGGCGCGCGTGCACGTCATTCTATTGCAGTTCTTTTTTTTGCCCCCATCGCGAGTTCTCCCACGTGAATGGCAGGTTATAACTTATACATGTAGCTATAGAAAAAATCGATGATACCGACACGATACCTACGCGATGTATATTGTACATTGTACGCCTATGTACGTGTAAAAAAAAAAGCAATATATAAATTAAGCTACGTCTGGATGTACGTGCATATACATTCCGCAGATTCTTTCGGTCATGGAGACGTGCCACGCATAATGTGATCAAAGGGAAAATACTTTGGGAATTTGTGGGATGAGCGTGGGATATGGGATACAATGTGGCGGGCTCCTCCTGGTGTCTTATGGTTTTATTGAATAAGTGGAAAATCAATAACTCGAAACGAATATATTTCTGTTTTGAATTGATGATCAGCCACTATTTCAATTACTGGATGTTCTTATAATCGTGCGCTTTTAACCGAGTTGAATGGTTTTTTTTTTTTTTTTTTTTTTTTTTTTACAATTAACTCATGTACGTACAACTAGTGAGATGATTGTATGCTGTTGGACAAACTGCCTTCAAGAAATTCCAAATTATAAGTGTATAGGTACGCATAACAAAGTGGCTCGTAATTCTTGAAATGTTTCACAATAGCAATCACTTAGCCATTAGTCGCAGAGCGTAATGATTAAAAAGTATACCGATTTCTCAAAATTAGGTACAAGTGCATGAAACTCTGACCGGAGGGCCATTATTTCATCAAACAAGGCAATCAGAGTTGTTATTGTATACATTTCAAAGTATTTTGGAAAAAATTGCACGCGACATATACCGCTTTCTTTGAATTTCAATTTGTTTTTATATGTATAGATGCATTTTTTAGGCTTATAGAATGGTAGGTAATTTCGGACACGAGTAGCAATAAGCAACGACGTATTATTTCTGACACAAATTTTAATTCAGTCCATCAGTCTTTATACTTCTCAACGTCTCGAATCGCATGCAACGTAATTTATGCATCATCTCACGAGCACATAATACGATGTTAAATTCTAACGTTGTATGCATGAAAATATAAATTTTAAATCAGCCCGACTGGAGTACGTTTAATATGTAGCCCGTAGAAAAAAAAAAAAAAAAAAAATTTTTGACAGGAAATATAAGGGCCACTGCGGAACTCGCGTACTAGCATGAAAAATTTATTTATATCAGTACCACGTTTCCTACGTATACCTACTTTCTCGATCCAATTAAAACATTTTTTTTCCCCCATCAACAGCGCTGCACAGAAATACCCATCATTTTTATTTTACTTCTCTTATTGGGATTGTACATCCGTCAATTAATAAATCCTACAATCGTGCGCAATAACGAGAACTTTCAGCCACGCGCATCGATCGTGCATAAAAAAAAAGTGTAAAAATAGTAAAAAAAAGAAAAAGAAATCACCACTTGCACCGCGGAGTCCCAATACGCTGCAATAGCTATCCATATCGCTCTGCTTGCTTTTCTCCCGTTCGCTCGCGAGGGTACTACATACGTACAATAAAAGCAAACCTCCCCCGAACGAAAGCCATTTACCCGAAACGCCACATGCAAAAAGCAATCATAGCTGCACGTCGAGGCCGCTGAGGCCAATTCCACGTTCTGGAGGTACAAGGTGAAGAAGCAGTAGGCGAGTGGTATCCCTTTGGACACTGTTCAGCTGAGCAATGCCCAGGCAGGTATGTGTGTGTATGTATGTGTAACACGCACGCACGACATACAATGTGCATATAAAGGGTCGAGGTAAGAGAGATTGTACAGTAGGTGTGTATGTATATATTATATACTGCTGCAAGCGGTCGAGGATACACACATAGGGACAAGATAGGCGCTTACCCTCGTAAGCTCCGACCCGAACACGTATGTACACCGTAATCTCGCTGAGATACGACCTACCCACATATATCTGTCCTCTCTAACTGTGTATGGTATATAGCAATCGTGTCGTGTATACGGCTGCTTTCGCACGCGCGTACGAGCACATATGTATTGCTTACTATGCGCGGCTATGTATATATAGCCACGTGGAGGTACGTGGGTACACGTGGGGGGCGCGTGACTCTATGGTCCGGGGGTTAAGCCTATTAGCAAAGGGAGGCTGAAGCCGGAGAGCAGGAATTGCGAGATTCGGGGGCTGAGGATGCCTGTATATACGTAAGGTACGGAACGGGGAGGAGGAGGGATAAGCGATGGATGGAGATCAAGAGAGATGGGAGCTATACGTGTGTGGTGCATGGACCCGTGTGAGAAAGGATGTCTCTTCAGAAGTT